ATCGAAAGATATTCCAATATAATTTGGTCAAAAATATAAAAGTAATGTGATATCCAAAAATGTTAGATTCTAATTTGAACAAGAGTTTGAAGAAAGTACAATATAAAAAGGTATGTCCTTCAAAATTGGTCAAAAATGTAAAGTTATTATAGTGTCAAAAATGTTCCATTGTAATATGAACAAAAATTTTAAGATTGCAATTTTGTATAATATCAAATTTGGCAAAAAATTTAGAGATAATTTGATATAAAAAGATGTTACAATCTAATTTTGATAATAATGTAAAGACAATCTATCTATTTGAAACTGTTCTTATCAATTTTTGTCAAAAAGTTAACAATAATTTAATGTCAAAAGATGTTACTGTCTAATTGGAACAAGAATTCATTATCGAAAGATGTTCTAATCTAATTTGGTCAAAAATATAAAAGTAATATGATGTCCAAAAATGTTAGATTATAATTTGAACGAAAATTTGAAGAAAGTACAGCATGAAAAGGTATGTCCTTCAAATTTGGTCAAAATAGTAAAGATAATTTTAGGTCAAAAGATTTTACTGTCTAATTTGAAACAGAATTCACTATCAAACGATGTTCTAATCTAATTTGGTCAAAAATATAAAAGTAATTTAGTGTCAAAAAGTTGTTAGATTCTTATTTGAATAAGATTTTGAAGAAAATACAGTATTAAAAGCTATATTCTTCAAATTTGGTCAAAAATGTAAAGATAATTTAACATAAAAAGATGTTACATTGTAATTTGAACAAGAATTCATTATTAAAAGATGTTCTCATCTAATTTGGTCAAAAATCGTAAAAGTAATTTGAAATCAAAAGATGTTACATTCTAATTTGAATAAAGTGTATGAAAAGCTATGTTCTTCAAAATTGGTCAAAAATATAAAGATAATTTAATGTCAAAAGATGTTACCGTCTAATTTCAACCAGAATTCACTATCAAAAAATGATCTAATCTAATTAGGTAAAAATCGTAAAAGCATTTTGATATCCAAAGATGTTACAATCAAATTTTAACAAATATGTAATGACAATTCATCTACCTGTCATTCTAATCAATTTTTGTCAAAAAGTTAGAAATAATTTAATGCCAAAAGATGTTACTGTCTAATTTGAACCAGAATTCATTATTAAAAGATGTTCTAATCTAACTTGGTCAAAAATATAATAATCAAAGATGTTACATTCTAATTTTGATCAAAAATTTGAAAACAGCACTATATCAAAAGCTGTATTTATAAAATTTGATAAGAAATGTAGAGATAGTTCCGGGTTCTAAAATGTTACAATTTAATTTAAATTGAAATAATTAAACAGTTCAATATTAAAGGATGTTTTAATCAATTTTGATAATTAAAAATCACACAATTTTTTATTTTAAGTAAAATGTTAAATTAACAGTATCAAAACTTGTATCCATCTGATATTGGTGAAAAATAAATAACTTAATTTTTTCAGATTTTCCAAAATCAAACTCTTGAGATTAATAAGTGAAAATTTGACAAAATTAAATTATAAAATTAGAAGAACAAAAAAAAGGCCATTCGGCAGCCGAAATGGAAGTAGATTTCATGATGAACAAAAAAAATACTACTAGGGTTACATACAAAAAAAATTAATTTCTGTTACATTAAATAACAATGACGTCAAAACGAATGCAAAAGTAAAGTTTCATTAAATCTGTCTGAAAAAGGAGGTAATTTTTGGCCTAGACTAATAATGAGGTACAAAAATTGAAGCTTATTTAATAAGCTTTCAGATGCTCTTTATAGAATTTTGATAAGATATCGCGTTCAATTGTAATTGTACGGAAATACGGAAAAAGTGAAAATTTTTGCGATTTTTGAAAATTTTTGAATTGCTATTATTCCTATACTATTCAATATGGAAAAATAAATAAGTATACAAATTGAAGCTTATTAAATAAGCTTTCAAATGCACTTTACAGAAATCCGATAGGATGTCGCGTTCCATTGTTATTACACGGAAATAAGGTAAAAGCGAAAATTTTTATCAATATAAATACATACATATATAAACTTTTGAACTATATACATTTTCTGGCTCAGCTCGCCAAACTGAGTCAGAAAATGACTAAATTTTCCAAAAGTTGTGCCTTGAGGACCGCTGCAATAGTTAGATTTTTATGAAATCTACTAAAAATGAACAATCGAAAAGATTTCAATAGAATAAAAGCAACCGAGACTAGCGCCAAGAATGTAAAAAATCTATATTAAGCTCATCGCCAATTGAATCAACGAACATTTACCAGGACATCATTTTAATTCACGCAGTTGATACGTGATTAATTCCATCCAAGTAGCTCCACATAATAACTATCTTGGTGAGGAGCGCGACATTGTGAAAAGTGACGTCAGTAGGTCAGGACCCGTTTCGTTGGTACATTCTAAAGCATCATCTGCGGGCTGTTGTTTATTGTCTTAGTCCCTCTCCTCTCTTGATCAAACTTAGTGTTGGGTATGTGTAACGTTCGTAATATATAAGTTAAGATTTAAGTGTACAAATTACACGAATGAGTTTAAGAGAGAAAGGTTATACTTTGGAATAAGATGGAGGAATGAGGGCGGCGGAGTCCCGCAGCTGCCCGGCTACCAACACAATAATATCTAATTAATTTATTAATGAGGTTAAGTTGGTAGTATTGGACGGCAGACGTGCGCCACTCACTCTTACTACCACTAAGTTTATTAAATTCCTTCATCGAATTTAATTTATCATATCATGTATCCAGTGAAAACATTTAATGCAAGGCTTGACTTAATAGAAGACCTATTGCTAAAGATGCGACGATTTTTCCTAAGAGGCCTCGATACTTCAACAAATTAGGGGCATTCCATGCGAAATAGGAAAATGATTAAAATTTAAAAATTTCTTTAATTCGTTCTAATTTATTATTAAAAGTCTATATTTTACTAATTTGTAAAGAAAATTTTTTTTAATCAATAAGAAAATCGATTTTTCTCTCCTAGTAACTTTTTAACAGTACTAACTTGTATTCGGGTCAAATGTTGTTCTACACGGAGAGAAAAATGTGGAAATCATTCCTATAATTTTAATTAAATGTTTTCCTATACCATTTTAGGAGCGATTACTTAAATTATGGAAATTGTACCCCTAATTTTTGGGAAATGTTACTATAATTATGGGAATGGTTACTATAATTATAGGAACGATACTTATAATTATAACTGTAATATCGGCATAATTCCCATAATATATACACGGAAAAAAGTAAACTGTAATAAATAACAGTCGAATTATAATTAGTAATGATCAACTGCTAAAAATTATCATTTCAAACAGTAAAACCGTGATTTTACTATTCACTTTATAATATTTACTATTTAAACGTTACAATTTACTCTTTACATGGAAAAAAATATTATTTCAAACAGTTATTTTCGCTATGTAAATGTCTAAAATGTTTAAGTATAATAATTAACAATTCAGACTTTGATATTTATCATTTAGTACCTGAAAAATCATCTTATGATTTACGATATGTAAAAAGTATAAAATAAAGTTAGTAAATTTCTAATACAAGCAACGTCAATATTTACAAAGTAAAATGGTAAATTTTAAACGCAACGCTAAAAATCAAACTGTAATTATTGACTTGCTTGGACTGGTAAAATGTATATTTTAAAAGTATAATTTTTACTGTTTCAAATGTTAAATTCTCCCAGAGTGAGACCCCCTTCTCTTTTATCTGAGTTCCCCTTCTCCTCATAATATTGACTATATATTGAAATGGCAATTTTTACTGTTTGAAACTGTAATTTTTTAAGATGAAAGAGTCGTTATTTACTATAGTGACAACTATCACTTATTTTGGATATTAAATTATAAATTGTGGCTTTTATACTTTCTACATTAAGTTCTGTAATATTTATATTTTTTTGTCACCCCGATGGCCGCTTTACTGTTTGAAACTATAAAAATGAACCAATATCCGGGTGAATATTACAGTTTACTTTTTTCCGTGTAGGAATGGTTCCTATAATATATAGGAATAGTTTCTATAATATTATAGGAAGCCATTCCTATAATATAATGGGAATCATTTCCATAATTTTTGGAAAGGTTCCTATAAATTTCTCTCCGTGCAATAGTTTTAAGAACAAATTCATTTTATGTTTGTTATTAACTAACATATTTATTATTATAGTTTTAAGAACAAATTTTGTTTATGTTCGTTATTAATTAACACCTAAGTTTATCAAGATCGTGTTGTCAGCAAGCTAAATCCTTTATTTGTGTTTTTTAATTAGTTTTTTTTAATTATCCTAAATAATTTATAATTAAATATATAAACAATAATGTTTCTAAGGTTGAAATAATATAAAAGTCTTTTTAATAAACAACTTGATGTAGACATTTTGTACTTGTCCCACCAGTCACAATAAAAACAAATTTTTTTAATTGTTTCTACGTAGGTAATCAGTCTAATTCTTCATAATATTGAATGTTTGTAGGATAAATTTTGTATTGAGAGGGAAGTATTTTTTTTTAGTTTAGTGGTCGAACTGAAATTGGACTTTAAGTATACCTTTGGTAAGAGAAAAGGATTTTCCTTAATCCCACCAGTCACACTCAGTCAAATGATAATTACGAGAAACTTAAAAAGTAATCTAGGTTTTTGACAAAGGGATGTTGTTAATTAGTTATTCTTCTATATTATAGGATAAATTTTACTAGTATAAATTTCAGTCACATAATTATATAAAATTGATGGAATTCCAGTCAAATGTCCCACTAGTCACTATAGAATGCCTACATTGGACAACGAAATAAAAGGATAAATGATTTGTGGTAAAAGTTCCGATGAGCTTTAGTGCTGGCGAAAAGCTTATCCACCCGCAGACAGCTGCCTCTGTTGATGCCAATTCCCGGGAGATTCCTTCCTGAGGATAAAGTCTCACTAAAATTGTATCTGACAGCTATCTTTATACCTTATACCCGTCATAATTTATAGTCCTTAGGATCTTTTGCCAGTTTCTGAGCAAACGCTAACACCAAAAGTACGTGACCACTTAATCTTAGCAGGACAATGACATTCCTGACCTGACATAGGTTGGACAAGTTGCTTTTAGCTTTGAAGGGGTTAAAAAGAACCAGGATGATAAATACCTTGATAAGCGGCGGACTGTGTTGTGAATAATGTCCGGTTGGTGGGCTCGCAGGAGGCTGAGTGCCTCCGGGCGAGACAGCACCACCGCCGGGGGTGAGAATCCTGGACTCGTGGCTGAACAACACTTTTCCGATTTCCACCGCGACTTCGCGGAACTCCCAGGACCTCCAGATTCGCCTGCTATCCTGGTTGAATTCGTCGTTGCTGCAAGCGTCGTCCCCGACGCACTTCAACAAACCTTCAAATCCCGTGTCTGAGGATGTTAACAATAATACTACAACAACTGGTAACAATCCAACATCACCTATCGCAGATTAACAGATTACCAACAGACACACCAGGTTATAACTAATTCGAATTAGTCATTGCACCTTTTGTCACTGAATCCACCGTTAGAGTATCACTATCACTAATTTAATTGGTGGCACGGTTATAACCTGAGACAGATCTGAGACGACTGGGTTAAGATCTGAAGAAGCTTTGCCTGACAAGTATCAGCGCGTGTCTATCCAGATACAGCATCCACTAACTGGACCGAAAGCGTGCGTTTGATAGGCGTGCCGCGCTTGCGTCCTCCGTAATGTAGGCGGTGATCCACATCATGTCCCCACTTGCTGTTACACTATAACATCTAACAGATACGACAGATAATTCGACACGGATACGGAAGGGGGTGAAAACCCACGTGGTTTTATTGGCCAAATAACGGAATGACAAATACACTTATTTCGGTAATGCTGTCACTCGGCAATTGTCAGCAAACACTCTATCTCTTTTTGTTTTACTAGATTTGCTTGTTTTAGATACTTAAGTAGTTATGGGACGGAAAACATTTCTTCAAAAGTCATCCTGGATTGAATTGCCATCGTTCTGATTATAATCAGAAACTCATAATCAGCTTCTGATTATAATCAAAAGTTTATAATCAGTTTTTGATCATAATTAGAAATTCGTAATCAGCTTCTGATCATAATTAGAAGCTTATATTCAGCTTCTGATCAAAATCAGAAGCTCATAATCAGGAGCTCATAATTAGAAGCTCATTATCAACTACTAATCATAATTAGAAGCTTATATTCAGCTTCAGATCATAATCAGAAGCTCATAACCAGGAGCTCATAATCAGTCGCTCATAATGAGAAGCCTATAATCAGCTTCTGATCATAATAAGAAGCTTATATTCAGCTTCTGATCATAATTAGAAGCTTATATTCAGCTTCTGATCATAATCAGGAACTCATAATCAGTTTTTGATCATAATCAGAAGCTCATGATCAGCTTCTGATCATAATCAGAAGGCCATGATCAGCTGCTGATCATAATTAGAAGCTCATAATCGGCTTCTGATCATGAGCTGGGATATAGCTACAACAAATCCAATAAATTTGGACAACAAGGTAACCTAATTAGAAAAAGGTATTGGCTGTCGCAAGGATGTCTAGAGTTTTGGCTCCCAAATGACATTACGTGTAAAACAGTAATGGGATGTAATGCGGACGGAATAGAGAGGCAGATACAAGATGGGAGTAAGGGTTGATGAAAAGGACAGGACTCTAAAGGTACTAGGTAGGGGTGTCCAAGTGATGGGAGCAGGTAGTTTGGGTGAGCAAAGGACAGATGGTGGGCGCGAAGAAAGGGGAGATGCTAATACATAAAGTAGCTTAAAGTAGAAAATTGTGGAAGCGTCGTGATGCTTGGTGATTGCGTTACCTCCGGGCTTTGATTTAAAATGCAACGAGGGGCATTACGGAAGTGAAGCGAGGGGAGGAGGCTGCTATGGAAGCTCAACTACTGACTGTGGAACCGAAGGGAGTAAATAGGGACGCTCTTACTCACTTACTCGCGAATAAGTAGCTGGGGGTTGGTTACCCTCCGTTGAAGGACGAAGAGAGACTGCGCCCGCGGCCTCACTCTCAGGTCGGGGTTTCTCGATTGTAGAGACGGGCGCTACGCCATCTTCCATTCCTCCTCACTCCTTTCCCGGCTAGAGCCTGGGAGGGCGCTGTGCCCGTGGGAGACCAGCCGAGGGGAAGGACTCAGACATCTTACCAATATACTTTTAGTTTTATTTCGTTTACTCTTTACTCATATGGATACTAAGTTTTGTTATTTCGCTTATTGCTTTTCCTTTTTTTCCTTCTCGAGATCTTTGACGTGATATGTAACATGGACAGGGCAGCTATTGCTATTACTACGGTAATAATTTGATCGGAGCTTTTTCCTCCGACCAAGCTGGTCAGATTAAGATCACTTTTAAGATGACTGACAGGATACCGGATTTTAATCTCCCGAGAGTTTATAATACTACTAGGCAGGACATGGGTTCTTCAGTTGTCAATATTTTAAATATATATTTTATGACTGATATAAATTTATACCCGCTTCTTGAGGCTTACACTAACTCTTACAAGATGTTAAATATATATACGGAAAAGTGGAGAGAGTTTTCTTGGGTAAACATCATCATGGAAGATTCGCTACGGATGCTTTAAATTATTACTTTCTCAAACTCTGTTAGCGAGCACCGACGTTCTGAAAATTTAAGTACAACGGGTGAGAATCTTAAAACTCGTTATAACAAAGAAACGTCTGCTTTAGGCCTTCGGGTGATGGTTTAATTTCATTCGGGGCATTTATTATAAATGGAATGATTAAGCTCATTAATATTTTACTAATAAAATTAGTGATGGTTTTTTGGAAGAAAAATATTTTTATCCAATATACGTTTCTTAATATAAAAAAAATTGGTATTTTTCGTTTGGTTACATCGAAAAGTTGTGCAAAGATTATTAAGAAATAACCTTTCATCTTGTAAAATATTGATATTTTTAAAAATATAAGCTCATCCCGATGTTACACTCATCGAGACCTTGCATTTGAGTACCCTTGCATTTGAGTAGTATATATATATATATATCAAAATGCATGTGGGTACTCAAATGAAAGCTCTTAATGAGTGTAACATCGTGATGAGCTTATATCTTTAAAAATGTCAATATTTAAGAAAGTACAATGCCATTTTAACAAATATCTTGTGAACTATTGGTATTTTTAAAGATATAAGCTCATCCTGATATTACACTCATCAAGACCTTTCATTTGAGTACCCATATGCATTTTGATATATTTTTCATATATTCAAATATATATAAATATATAAAATATATGAAAAATTGATGTGGGTACTCAAATGAAAGATCTCGATGAGTGTTACATCGGGATGGGCTTATATCTTAAAAAACGTCAATATTCAAGAAAGTACAGTGCAATTTAACAAAAGTCATTATTTAATAAAGCAAAATTTTAATTTTTTATAGATTTTTTTCCAAATTTTATAAAAATGATTTTAATATTAAATTGAATATAATAAAAAAATTAAAAAGTTCTAAATTCTTAACTCCTTTTAAAAATTAAATAACTCCAACTCATAACAGGATTGACGCGTTAATAATAAATAAAGTTATTTAGTTGATATTTTTAAGTGAACCTCTAGGGGAGTTTTGAGTGATGGGTTCGGCGACGTGCGTACTGAGACAAAAGCTCGAGAGCTTTAAAAGAGTCTAAAGTCTAAAGATCAAAGCTCATGCTTGTCTTCAATACACTATTGTTTCCAGAATAAACAAAATTTTTTCCCCTTTTAAATATTAACAATTACACTTTTTTATCAAAATAACAAAGGGTTCCAATAAGAAAAGCAAGACTGTGTAATAAACCAACCTATTACACTTATTGGCAGTTGCCTAAAATTTTCCATTTTAAAAATAAAATTACCCAAAGAAACACAAAGGGAGCTTGGAAGTTAATAAAAACGATAACGATCCGATAATTAGATTCTGCGGCTAGGAGTTTGATCGAATCGGGGGATTAGAGACGAGCCAATAAGCTCATAATGATTAATAATGATGATAACTTTGAGGGAATTGACGAGAAGAGAGTAATAAGTAATAAGTAACAAGAACGAAAGCTCGAAAGTAAGCGCGTGTGAATCGGGGATGTTCCTGATTGTGTTGGTGGTGTGGTGTTCGACGAGACAGATGGAGCCATAACGAACAGACAATGTGATGCAAATTGGTTGGACTGAGCTTCAGCTCGACCAGTCAATCGGTTGGTAGGTGTACGTCTACGTCTGCAAGCTCTAACACAGACCAGGAATGTGTGGTTATGTTAGCGATGGTATTACTAACATCGGTATTCTATTATAACATCACCAGACTCACACACGCTCATGGTGCTTCTGCTATCATGGTGCTGTTGTGTTGTGTGTACAGATAGGATATATACCCATTACTCGGTTGCATGGTTCTACCTCTACTCTGCTCTGCTATTATACACTCAGCTATACGATATACGATATACTCCGTTAAATCTACTCCACACTAACTCGCTCCCTGTAGGCAACCAATCAACTAACTCGGTAACTACCTGCCACCCATATGATATGATACGAGAGAGACAATGACAATGAGAATTGCCTTAGGCCACTCGGTTATACAGATGAATAGATAGAGATATATATCTCAGTATGTATCCTGTCAAATCATTTGCTGGGTGGTTTAATTCTATTCTCGGTAATTTATTACTTGGAAAATTACTTATTTGCAGTTACAAAATGCTATTTACAAAGCTGAGTAGTCTTCCAGACTTGTATTAGCTTAAGATTGCTTCGCTGAGAAATTTTCATTTTGTCAACAAGGGTTGATGAGTGATTGCTGATTGGTCATTAGTGACTTTCGTCATTGGAAGGTTCTTTCGGCGGTACTGCGACATCTGTTGGAGAAGTCGTCGGTAAAAAAGAATGCTAGCTTGTTGATGGTCAGCTAATTGTAATGCATCTCTGATGGTACTAACCTGATAGCCACCATGGTGCACATACCCTGCAGGGTATGATAGCCATATCATGATAGCCAGAGTTTCAGACCAACCAAGTTGGTGTCAGATAGTTATCACCAACTTAGCGACAACTTGCGGTCAATTTCCGAATTTGTATTTCTGAGAAAAAGAAGACCAATTGATTGCCGCAATTTCTTGAGAAACTTGTCGTCAACTTGATGTGAAAAAGTTTCAGAAGCAGTTTTTGCTGACACCAACCGAGTGCATTTCCAAGAATTGCTGCCTACTTGGGGACAAATTGCGGCAGTAAATAGACAGAAAGTTGCGACCAACTTGGCTATCAGAGTCTGATAGTACTAATACGCATTTTTTTTGTACATAAAAATTTTAATGTAATTAAATGTTTGTTTATTTTCAATCTATCACTTTTGGATTAATAAGGCTACTAATTATATTGTACAAAGTTTAGGAAGAAGTTCTTATAATTGATTGATGTTATTATCTTTTAGGTAAAAAAAATGCTAACTAATAATTCTTAGAGATGGGTTAAATCTGTATGAACTTAGAGAAGGTACTTTGAGCTTTTGTGAAGTTCATTAGGGAGATAATCTTGAAATATGAGCTTGTTAGATGTTTGAAGGATTTATAATTAGACATATTTAGACTTATAATCTGAATTAACTTTTCGGACAGACGAAGGGATTGAATAAAAGCTTAAACTTTAAGGGAAATCAAATTTGAGTAGATGATTAATTTTTAACGATAATGCAATATTGATTTTTACAATTTTATTTAAACCTACTTCAATTTCTTTTCTGTCAAAGAAATTTATTTCAAGTTTTAGGTATAAAAAGAGATCTAACGAACTTTTCTAAAGTCTTAATAAATTTATTTCAAGAGTATTTATATAATTATTTGTTCAGTTTTTCATGGTCTTGAAAGAAAAAAATAGTATGCAATTCTATAAATCGATGTTTGAAGAATATACGTAAAAATCTAGAAAAGAAGACGAAAAATTCTTTAATCAATTAAAATTTAGTTTAACCAAGAAAAATTTCTTAGTTTAAGAATTTTTTTACGCAAATCAAGAAGATCAAGTTCTTCAAAATTAGTAACTTGATTCAAGTTAATTTTTTTTTCTGTGTTTCTTATTATTTTATAAAATTTTAAGAAGAGTAATTTAAAAAATAAATTTTTTTAAATGCGGAATTTCTCAAGATACTATTAAAAAAAATTAGATAATTTTTTTATTTTTGATAGTAAAAGGAAATAAATCCAAAGTTCTCAACAATTTCTTGTACATTTTTCTGAAAGTTTTATTCGAAAATAATGAAAATAATTTTAAAAAAAATATAATCTGATCTATATCCAAAAAAAAAATTTTTTTTTTTTTTTTCAAAAACTGTATAACACCCATACAAATTTAGAGTTTTATTAATTTGCAAACTAGGTCTAGTAAAATTGCTGATAGCCCTGTTTAAAAATATTTATTTAAAAAAATTGAAAATATATACCTATAGATATATATTGAAAAATTGGAATTATTGAAATAAATTCAAATCTCATAGTGAATTTTTTCAATGAATATTTAGATCACTTCTATTTTTTTACAAATAATTTAAAAACTTTGCCTTATAAATTTCACATTTTAACACCCGACTTTTCAATAAACTGATAAATTTTCATAATCGATTTCTTCATCTAGATCAATAGATAGATATGAGTTTTATTTGTATCACAATTATGTGTTTTACAAAAATATTTTAAATATTACATATAACATACATAAATATTTTTTTACAAAATAAATTCCCCACATTCATTATACATATTACATATTAGGTATCAAACTTTGGTAACATCAATTATTATTCTTAATTATAATTTTTTGCCTTTCCAGCTTCTATGTTAATTGTCTAACATCTAGATCAATATTAGTCAATCATTTTAACTTCAATATATCACTATAAAACTTCAAAATCTGTATTTCCATCCGCGATAAATTCAAAACTTACCATCAAAAGCCGCTAAATTTCCTTCTTTATCCCCAGCAACAAACATGGTAACCAACTGCTTGATCCATCCAGGAGGTGTCGCAGCAGTAAACGATTTACTGCGCATGTGCAGTGTAAAATGAGCGCCTCTTTCGGCAGCGGAAAAACGTGGGTAAAAATGCGATCCTCTCTCGAGAGAGGGGAAGCTGAGAAAAATCTAAGGAGTGAGGGTAGAGTGAACACCCCACCTCGTGGTGGCATGAATCCGGGCTACCGTCGTCCCGGTCGCTAAAATGATGCGGCAGACACTTTTAAGTGACGCCCGTGGTCACGGTAGACGGATAACGCGAGTTTACAAGCGAACAATAGCGTAAAAAATAAACTACGATTTAAAATAATTAATTAATTAGTAAAAAATCTAGATCCTAAATCGGTGCGACGTAACTCGGGTTCGATCTGTGATTGTTAATCGCTGACCGCTGATTGTCGGAGCCTCGGCTAGAGGGCGTATCCATTTAAATGTTTACTTCAAGCCACCCGGTGCAATTTAGGCGTAATTAGCATTAATAATAATAATAATAAAAATAAACAAAAAAAGATAGCGTTGAATGAACGGGAACGAGTGTGGCATAATAAACGACGCCTGCGTGTCTATGCGCGTGTGCTTTGACAGTTTGTGCTTCTCGTCGACGCAGCACAGGCTCGCCGACGAGGAAGACGCATTTCAGCTCCAGTCTAACGGCACGGCAATCGTTGTCTCGTCGAGTTCCACGTCGCCGTCGAATTCTCCGACGGCTGTTCCTGTTCCTGGTCCTAATTTTACCGCAATCACGGCGACCACTTGCAGCGAGGGACTGGGTCAAGTTTTGGCCCGGGCCGCTACTCCTCCGAGCAACTCTACCTTGACTCCTGCCATGGAGAAGCTCCAGGAGCTTCTCAGGACTAAAGATGAAAGGATTTCACAGCTTGAGGCTACTCTCACGAAAAAGGACAATGAAATTCAGGACCTCAGGAGTCATCTGGATAAATTCATCAGTATCATGTCCATCAAGTCTCCTCTTACGCCTACTAAGTCCAGGCCCAGGAAACAACGCGCTCAGGGTATTTCTGCGGAGCCGCCTCTTCATCAGCTGACTCCGCTCAAGTTTTATGACAAGAGCGACAGGTTAGTTTTATTGTTGATACTCTACAAGCGCAGTTTATTAATGTTTTTTTTTTTTCAGTTTTATTTTTGCATTGATAACACTCTTGTTAGCCGATGTTTAAAATTTTTTTTTTATTTTAATTATTAATAAAAAATATTTTTAGAAAATTTTACATATTAAATTTTTGTTTTTATTTTTTAATAAAAAAAATTTTAATTTTTTAATAAAAAAATTTTGTAATAAAAAAATTTTTAATTTTTTAATAAAAAAATTTTTTAATTTTTAAATGTCGGCTAACTTATTTTTCTGTTATTAATTTTTAGAAATTTAGTGTTTTTTTTTTAAAATTTTTTTTTTAGCTGGAATTATTTAGTGATATGACAAAAGTATTGGAGTAGGTTTAAAAAAATGTTTTTTTTTTTTTTTTTTTTCAAGATAAATCGCTGCGGTTTGTACGTGGAATGTTTTTGTGGAGTATTTGCTGTTTAGCAAAAAATAAAAAGTAACCACTGAAAAATTAGGGGCTTATTTAACTCTGTATTTAAACATTTTATTTAGAATTTTAATTTTTAACTGTTACAAGACATTTTAGGTCACTAGTTATTTTATAAATTTCATTTTAATGATTTGAAATACGAATTTTAAAATTTGGAAAAAATGGTCAAAAATTTTGCAATAAATTCAGACAAAATTTTTATAGATCAATGCCCATTTAATTTTCTTGATGAATAAAAATAAAAAAAGTAACAGCATAAAATCGGAAAAGTGAATATGAAATGAGAATGCCGTAATTTGTAGGTCTTTCACCTACAGTGGGTGAACATTTGAATAATAACTCAGAGCCAGTGGAATTAAATATTAAGATGAATAGTGGGAATATGAAGGCATGAATGTTGTAAAATTAGCCCGAGAGTTGCTACCAATTGAAATGCGTAGACGTGTGGTATGATAAAGAGGAATATGTGGACTTAGCTGCACAAGAAGAATGTAAAAGAGTTTAAAATAGCTGTAGAAAAATCAGGGCGCATTGTTCATTGTTCATTTCCATTTCCATCTCCATTTTCATTTTTTTCCGACTTGAATAATAATCCTGGTGAGTCCTTAGGGTCCCATCCATCATATTCAGATTATCCAGCCATGTCTCGAGAGCAGTGTCACTTGTGTCTTAGTCACTACGCGGATCTCTTTGTTCAATTTGGCTGATACTTTTTATACTTTTTTTTATTCTTGCGCTAATTTATTCCCTTCAGAGTTTGTACGGGCTAGAGAATTTCAGGCTAGACTAAACTAGACTGTGAAGATGAGCGAAAGAAAGAGCCAATAAATGGATAAATTTAGTGTTACAATGAAGGAAAGGTAATAAAAATACCCGAGTGATTCTACGGTTTTATATTTCTATAGGAGAATTGAAATTGATTGACTGATTAGTTTACCTCTTATGATATGATATTCTACCGAAAATTATTGCTTTGTAAATTTTTTTATTATTATTATGATTTATTCAGAAAAAAAAATACTTCTAAGAACACGGCCTAGCTAAAGAAAATTTGCGATGAAATGAAAAATACACGGAAAAAAGTAAACTGTAATAAATAATAGTTGATTTATAATAAGCAATGATCAACTGCTAAAAATTACCATTTCAAACGGTAAAATGGTGATTTTAATCATGCTTTACTGTTTGAAATTATAAAAATATTATTATTATTATTATTAATAAAAAATTTAAATATTTTACTACTGCAACTTTAAAAAATAATTCTAACTTTAAAAATTTTACGATCGTAATTTAATAATTTTAACCCAATTATTCTAAAAAAAAAAAAATTAATCTTTCAATTTTTTAATTTTACAATAGTGATATATTTAAAAAAAAAAATTTCTTCAATTATTTTTAATATTCTACAATAATAATTTATCAATAAAAATTTATAATAATATTTCTTTTTTTTTTAATTTAAAAAACTCAATAATAATATAAAAATTTTTTACAATTACTTTCAAAATTTTAACATAATAATTTTACAAAATTTTTTTATTTATTATTTTATAAACTTTACAATCATAAAATTGTGGTTTTACAAATTATTAAAATTAAAATTTTTCATTGGCTAAAATTTATAAATTATGAAAATAATTTTTATAAATTATTAAAATAATTAAAATAAATTATTAAAATAATTTTTATAAATTATTAAAAAAAATTTTTATGCACATAAAAAAAAATTAACTTGAATCAGGTAAATAATTTTGAAGAATTTCATCTTCTTAATTTAAGTAAAAAAATTTTTAAAATAAGAATTTTGTCTTGTCTTAATTTAAGTAAATCTTACTTGATTATTTTTTCAAAATTATTTTCTTAGTTAAAGAATTTTCATCTTGATTCGTTAAATTTTTTTTCAGTGTGTTAATACCAAAAAATATATTTTAAATGTATAAAAATAATCATAAAAAATTTTCCATCAATGAAAATTTCTAAAGATCCCAATAATATGTCCCGACAATATAAGTAAAAATTTATTGAGTGTATAATAAAAATATAATAGTAAATTAAGTGGAACTAGAACCGCTTTTGTTTGTTTGGGCAACTAGTGTATAGTAATACAAACGTGATTTTCCACTCTAGGTCACTTGAATGACACGGCATTGATAAAACGTGTACGCACAAGTAAATACAAAACCCCTATACTTATATTATACTGATATGATATGATATTGAGTTTTTAGTTTGTTATTAAAGAATAATAATTACCACGTTAACTGATGTCGCTGCAAATATAGATTAGATCCCTAATCTAAGCATTCTTAAGCTTAAAGCTTGAAGTTTTCTAGAAATAATTTTTATTAGATTGATAATAGAGCTCCGGGCTACGATAAGGTATCATATCTGCATGAAAATGAAAGTGGAAAATATTTTTCTTGCAGCTAAGTTGGAAAACATCTAATCGGTTTATTATGTTGTGTACGTTAGATTACTACTTGGCTATGTAAATTGTCATTGTATATATTGTATATTCTACATTGCAGAGTTTAAATAAGTATATTGCTAGTGTAGGTTTTAGCTGACATGCTATCGCGCACACTAGGTATGTATTTACATTCCACGCTTTAAGTGACGGTTCATCGTTGACTTAATAATACAGACGATAGTTGCTGATGTGTGTCTGTGATTACAATACACAACTGTGCAGTCACTAGTTGTTATTATATATATTGTACTATTGTATTTATAGATAGAGACTTTTACAGAATATCAGATAGATGTCTATATGTACTTATACTCCCGACTATCTTAATAAATTGATAAACAATTGTTAAATCTAGCTTTTAATGCGATCTTATAATTTTTTTTTAGTGTTGTTTTCAATTGAGCATTTTCTTTTGTCATATTTTTAGAAGACAGAAAAATTTTTTTAATTATAATTGATATTTTTTTTTGATACTTTGAATTTTACACTGAAAAAATTTATTTAAAAAAAAGGGTATTTTTTGGGGCTAGGAATTAATTTGTTGGAAATTTTAAAGAATTTTAATTCTTAGCTGGAAAATTTTTTTTTTTATAAAAAAAAAAGTTTTTTTTTGATAGACAAAGTGCTAATTTTTTTTTTGGATACTGGAAGGAAAAAAAAAAGAAAAATTACGTTTTATAATTGTAATATTTATAAATTTTATAGAAACTAGCAACCTTACAGTCACTATGTGAACGATAAATAAATAAAATTTTAATTTATTAAATAATGATTTTTGTTAAATTGCACTGTACTTTCTTAAATATTGACATTTTTAAAGATATAAGCTCATCCTGATGTTACACTCATCAAGAGCTTTCATTTGAGTACCCACATGCATTTTGATATATTTTTCATATATTTATATATATATAAATATATAAAATATATGAAAAAATGATGTGGGTACTCAAATGAAATGTCTCGATGAGTGTAACACCGGGATGAGCTTATATCTTCAAAAATGTCAATAGCTCACAAGATACAAGGTCATTTCTTAATTACGTATCTAGAGATAGAACATTTTCGAATGCAGCCTAAATACTCATCATCATAAATTGACTATTGCTGAGAATGACATTATTTTATTTCAAACTGCAATTTTTCTAATTTTAAATTTAAAGCGACACTTATTACTATTTATAATATAATTTTTTCCTTTTTTCTTTTTTTTTCCACGTCTAAGAAAAATTTTCTACAAATTAATTTCTTATTACATTACTCATTTTTTTCAAAAGAAATTTATTATCTCAGTGTATTTAATAATAGTGTAGTTTCAATGTATAAAACTTTATTATCAATATATAGAACTTAACTTCTGATAAATCAACGCAAGAAATTCCAAATCCCAAACCCGTTGCAAAAATTCTGGAGTAACAAAAAAACAATCTAAAAATGTAGCGGAATCTCTGGATAAAGATAGCGAGCATCTTAGTTGTCAACAGGCGGCGGCGTCCGTCGATTGACGTCATCCTGGTTGTCGTAGAACGGTGATTGGTTTCATTAAATCACGCATGGCAGCCATATCACGTGGTCATCATCATCATTATGATCATAATATAGAATATAGAATATAGCCAAAGTCCCAAAGCCAAAGTAAAGCTAAGAGAGTTAAGTACAATATAAACTGAACTGGATATTATTGTATGCTTTCGAGTGTAGAGTAAGAAGAAATCTTCCTCGTTTATTCTATTCCCTTTAATCTCGATCTAATCACTCAAATAGATCATCTTAATCATCATTATTCTCTACTAACTTAACTGTGAAAAATCCTTCAATAAATTGTTGACACTGGAATTCATAGATACATTCAATTTGAACATACCTTGATAGAAGGATTTAGTTCTATTTAATTTAATAAGATTAAGTAATAGTTAATAAATCATTTATTAAAGCCCATTTATTTCGACCAAATAAATATTTAGTAGTATTTAACAAATGATTTATTGCTACGCAATAAATCGTTTATTGGTATTAAAGAAATTAATTTTTTAACTAATTTTAACGTACCTAACTTTTTTACTCAAAGTAAATCAAAGTATTTAAAATAAATAATTTTAAGTAGAAATATAAGGTATTACACGGAAAGAACAAGATGACACTGGATATCATCCCAGATTATACTGAGTGAAAAAAATTTCAGATAGTAGCTAGTATAATCCAGATTACAATAAGTATAATCCAGATATCACGCAGTATCATCTGGATTACAATGAGTATAATCCAGATGATCCCACAGTATAATCTGGATTTTTCTAACTACTATCTGAAATTTTTTTTCACCACAGATATCACTGAGTATAATCTGGGATGATATCCAGTGTCATCTTATTCTTTCCGTGTATAGAGAAAAGAATCTCATTAAATTATAATTTTTTATTTGAGACATTCATAAAATTTTAAATTAATCAAGTTTTTAACATATCAATAATAGACTAATTGAACAAATTTAAACTAAACTCCACTGAGAAATGATATATAAGCCATTTGGGAGGATGTGTGTTTTCAAAGGGAAGATAAATCTCCCAAAATCGAGCTGAATAAAATAATCTGAGTCAGTTAATAGGTTATGTATCACATTGGAATTAAAGCATTGCCATCTACCGACAATACTTACCAAAAAATATTTAGTACCGGTACTAAATATTATTTGGTGGAAACAAATATTTATTTTGATATAATAAGGCTTTGTTTATATTAATATAATTTATTTAGAATAAAAAAATGATTTATTAAACAGTAAAAAATAATATTGATGGGTAAAAAATATTTTTTTTTCTCCCAAATAAATGACTAAAAATTTTGTTACTAAATCAGTTTAGTACTCCGTACTAAATTCTTCTATCAGTGCATCTAATTGAATTGGTTTGTAAGTATATGAGATCCCGAAAAACAATTGTTTTGATAACTGGAAATAAAATAAATAATAAAATTGGCAAAGTAAAATTGCTCGTGGCAAATTCTCAAAGAGTAGTTCTCTAAGTAGGCGTGATTTAACGACTGGACATAAATAAGTCCAAGAGGGATATATTGCTTGCGCACGAGTGGAAAGACCGGTCGATGGCGCCTGCCTCTTCTTTTTCACTTGACTTTTAACAGATATACTAACCAGCATCTATTCCATTTGCACTTACTCTGTATGTGTGTTTATATACAGATGAAATATAAAAATAACGTATCAAGTATGTAATAATA